TAGAACTTCAGCCTATATTTTACTAGATAATCCTGTTAAAACAGGACTTTAAATTGCTCCACAGGGCGGGTAAGCCAATTACCTAAGATCTATTACAAGAATGACAGAGTTATTTTGATTAAAATTTGTATTAAACAAATTTTGTGAGATAAGTAATGTTTTAAAGTAAATTTTTTTATGCAATTTTGAATTAATGGCAAAGAAGCTGACGGCTTACCTGATGGAAAGTGGTAACTGTCGTCTATAAAAATAAGCAATTAATGAATACGAGTATAACAGTATTATACAGAATTATGAACGGTACAATAAACATAACATAGTACACTGTATACTGTGTCGCCCATCACATAGCCCTCATGCGTTGTCATTCCTGCGGACTATGGTGTTATGCCTCTGTATACTGTAATTTCATTGTCATATCCCATCCTTCAAACCGAAACACAGCCATGCAAACACAACTTCCTCACGGCAAAAACACAAATGATACAAAGGTATCCAAGTAAACGACTTTTGTACAAAGTCTCACTCGAGTAAATAATTACATCACTGTTAATAAAAAAAAAAATGAAATAAAATAAAAAAAAAGAAAATTAATGCTGCCTAAGTAGAGATTTTCGTTCTTTTGTGCTATTTTTTTTTTACCATTAAGCTTGTTAAATCTTAACCTTATCGTCTGAATTAAACATTCTATTTTGACTATTTTACTTGTTTCAATTTTATCTAAATTCACTTGGAATCATCTTGAAAAAGGATATTTAAAAAAGGTCAAACAAAACCATAAAAAAAATATATGTCTGCTTGATTTATGACAGTACTGTATAATTTAATATAGAATGTGTACAAAATTTCATACATTTACAGCTGTAGGGGTGAATAATATATAGCAATATATATATATATATATATATATATATATATATATATATATATATATATATATATATATATATATATATATATATATTAGTTACAATATCTATAAAGGTCCAATAATGAATATATTAAAAGTTTTCAAATTATAATATTGTATAACAGACTTTTAACATATTCGAAAATAATTTTTTTTTATACCACTGAGGTGGCAAACAAGCACGCAGTTACCATAGCCTATGAACGCCTGCAATACCAGAGGTATTACGCGTGCGTTGTCGACCCTGAAGAAACCTCTTGACCCCCCCTTTTGAAGAACCCCATGCTGTAGTCTCTTGGGAAAACTTCGGCAGGGAGCTCATTCCATGACCTGAGTGTTCGTGGGAGAAAACATCTCTGAAACCGCGTTGTACGCAACCATTTAGGCTGTAAGGTATGAGGGTGAACTCCCTGTCGATAGCGAGCCGTACAATGATAGAAAGTAGCCGTAGGCATCATATTGAATAATTCCTCTGAGCACAATCCGTTGTACAAGCGGTAGAACACGCTGAGTGAGGCAAAATCTCTTCTAAGACTTAAGGAACCCAGAGGAACTCAATATATAGATATCGCATCGGTATTTATAATACCTACAGACTATTCAACTGTTTGAGTGTGATTGAGTAACAAAGATTTAAACGTTTTTAAAAAAATTGTTCCCAGTATTAGTTTATTTAGTATTACTATATAGTAACACAGACAGACTTTTTGGGGGGTATCATGGGTAAAACAGTATACTCCGTTATGTCCATGGTACTGCTCATGTCTATAGGCGATGGTTACCACTTTCCATCAGGTGGGTCATCAGCTTGTTTGCCATTCTAAGTCGCATCAAAAAAGACTAGCATAATTCTATCGTTCTATTTAGTCTATTTAAGAATACAAACAATACGTATATAATTACTATACAGATCTTTGTTACGAAGTTGGTAAATTAATTACCTAGTTAGTACTTAATTTCGTTTCTGAGATAATTATAACTTATTTAACTTATAAATACCTAGTTATTTTAGCTTATTATCGAATGTTCTAAATACAAATTTGTTTCTTCGTAAAGATCAGTAACTTCAGTCATAAAAATTAATATTAAGCAGTAAGATGTCAGTCTTTATTAGAGGAAGACTTTGTTCAAAAGTCGTCTGCTTGGGTACGTCTGTCCCACCAGTGTTGCTGCCGTGCTGTTAGCCGTGCCCTATCAGATTTTGCTTGTATGCCTGTGTTTCAGTTCGGAAGGTGAGGCGACGGTTACCACTTTCCATCAGGTGGGCCGTCAGCTTGTTTGCCATTCTAAGTTGTATAAAAAAAAAGACGTAACATCCTTATAAATGGTTACGTTTATAATATAGCCTTTACCTGCTGTTTCGTTTGCGTGACCGGGACATATCGATTGATCGGGATAAATAATTGCATTTGTCCTTTCCCATCCCATGTAGTACATACGTGTATACCAAGTTTCATGTTAATTGGCCAAAAGGTAACAAACAAACTCTTTTTACGTTTTTTTTTTATACAACTTAGAATCGCAAACAAGCTGACGGCCCACCTGATGGAAAGTAATGACCGTTGCCTATAGACAAAGCAGTACTATGGATATAACGGAGTATACTGTTTCGGAGTATACTGAGGACTCAGGTGTTTTTCCTCTGTACCTTGTAAATTCACGTCATATCCCACCCTTCAAACCGAAACACAGCCATGCAAACACAGCCATGCTTCACGGTTGAAACACGAATGGGACAGAGGTACCCAAGCAATCGACTTTTGTACAAAGTCTCCTTCTGGTAAAAGTTTATAATATTAGTAAATAAGGATTAGGATAATATGCGATTTTGTAGGTGATGAAGCTAATTTGGTGAAGACGATACGCTAATTAATTTCTGTATTAATCTTACTACTATATAAATGAGAATTTTTATTTAACCTAAAATTTAAATTCAAATCATTTTTATTCAAATAGATTTGTTTACAAGCACTTTTAATTTTTTTTCAATTTACTGCAGGTTTCGGAAGGTTGTTATCTGTTGAGAAGAGCCCGCAATATACTCAACAGTTTACTCATTTAAATCTCTGTTAACATTATGTGTATTTATTTAAATGTACTATGCCTTAAAATTACATGGTCGTTAAAAGCCCTTGCATGATCGACTATCACCATGCACAAAAAAAAAACACTAAACGATTTCTTGAATGACAAATGTCATTCAAGAAATCGTTTAGTGTTTTTTTTTTATTTATATCACTGAGATGGCAAACAAGCATACGGCCCATCTGATGGTTACCGTAGCCTATTAATGCTTGAAATACATCTTTAACCGCCCTTTTGAATAACCTGATGTGTATGTAATAGGCTATATTTAATGTGTTTTTAATAACAGTTTTAAACTTATAAGAAGACAGATATTTGTGAGGTTTTATGGATGTTTGTTACTTGCAAAAATTACTGAACGGATATGAATGAAATTTGGCACACGTATAGATTATATCCTAACTTAAAACGTGAGATACTTTGTATAATAATATACACGGGCAAAGTCGCGGAATTCAGCTAGTTTTTCTATACATTCAATTCTATGTTTTAAGTAATTTTCATTTCATTAAAGTGAATGGCATTCATTATTATTCCAAGGAATCCCCCAACACATTTTCGAGATTTGTGTTTAGGGACGAATTTTCAAGTCCTTAAGTTGGTGAAATAATTATGCGTAAAATTGTTAAGGTCGTGTTCTGTCTAAGCCTTACAAGTTGGCTCGCTAATTTGAATAAGTAATTTTTTACAAATAACAATAATTAATACGAAATTATTACAAAATATTATTAATTAGGCCTGACTTCACACGGGTAGATAGAATTATCAAAAATAACATTTTATATTGTTATTTTAAAACTCTGCAAACTGACCTTTTTTAGCGCATTATGGATTTTAGATTTTATGCTTAGTTTTAAAATTAGCCCGCCATGATAATTACATTTACATTATTGGTTGAGGATTGGGCCGATGCGTCCCTCTTCAAACATCACGAAAGCCTAACTGCGGTTGCTAACCCGCCTGCCTAACGTAGTAACTACTGGCCAAACCCTCCTTAGGGGAGGCTTACGTTCAGCAGTGGACAGTTAAAGGTTGATATAATAGTAATAATAAAAGCAGTTGTGTTTGCATGGCTGTGTTTCGGTTTGAAGGGTGGGATACGGCGTGAATTTACTGGGTACAGAAGAATAACACCTGAGTCCTCAGGAATGGCAACGCATGGGGGGTATTATGGGCGAAACAGTATACTCTGTTATGTCCATGGTACTGCTCATGTCTATAAGCGACGGTTACCACTTTACATCAGATGGGCCGTCAGCTTGTTTGTCATTCTAAGTTGTATAAAAAATATATATCTGTAATGTAAATGAGATTATTTCAATATAATATTCATTATTTTCCTTTGTATGAATGTAGATGTTTATAGCGGTAGAGGAAAACCTAGAAGGAGATTGATAGACTATGCAAAAAATAATACGTATGCTCAGTTGAGTGGATTCTGAAATGATAGCAAATAGAGATGACTAAAAGAGAAAAATAAAACTTTTACGACAAAGCCAATACGTATAAGGGCAGGATGATGATGATGATGATGATCGTCATTATCTCAGCTATTATCTGTCCACTGCTGAACATAAACCTCCTCTGCCTATATTCAGCAGTGGATAGACAGACAGCAGTAGACTGTCATAAGAAACTATCCTGAGACACCTGCATGGGGGTGGAAAGGGATTATTAGTAATGGAGACTGAGAATCCCATTGCTAGCAATATACCCAACCAGGTCGGCCTCCTCGCGGTTCCTCCTAGAAACTATCATGGTTAATTCCTGATGAATTCATCATGATGGACTAACTGACCTGTTTTCATTCTCATCTATCACCATAAAAAAGAAGAGCCACCTGCATCCACGGACTTCCTGCAATGCATTTGAGGTCGTCACTCCATCTAGTGTGGGGAGGGGTCGTCCTACACTGCGTTTGCCCGTACGAGGTCGCCACTCAAGAACCTTTCGTCCCCGATGATAATGATGATTGTAAATATTGATTACTCTATTTTATTTTCAGAAAAAACGAAGAGATTGACGATGAGTTCAACACCATTCCACTGAGCGTCAACGGCAATGTTCACAGTGCAGGAAACGCAGTTTAGTCAATAATAATAAGTTCGTGGAGATTACACGATGAGGAAATGGTTTGACTTTTTGATTTTTATGTACATTGTTATCATTTACATTAATAAATCGTATAATGGATATACAATTTTAAGAGCAATCATACAGAAGTATGGTAACGTGTGATCTAAAACATTAAACAATTTTTAATGTCTTTAAATGATTATTTAAAAACTGTTTTATTAGCAAATAATAAGATTATCTTTAAACTGTCATTGAAATTTGGATTTTGCTTATAAAAAATATTTATTGGCTTCAATATTAAATGATGGATAAATCCAAAATATTCTGAGACAAATTTGTTATGTATAGTTAAACAAAAATTAATTATTACAGTCATTTTTAAACAATAATTAATTGAAAGAATAAAAATAATGTTTGAATCGTAGTTAATATAATTCAAACATTAGCAGAATTTTTATAAATGCTCTTAAATTATATCAATTTCTTTATCAAAGACAATAATAATATTTCGTTTATATTACGTGTTAACTAAATGTGCAATTATACGTGGAAAGTTACCAGACTTTATTTTAATTTTTATAATTTTCATTAGATGATGTTACTACAAGTTTCTTTCGTGTGTAATCTCCACGATTAAAAAAAAAAAACATTGGGCAACTGTCAGACCAATCGCGCGACGATTAGACGCGTTGTCGGTTTGATAGCAGCCTTAGGCCTTAAGTTACCCTATTTATTTGTTATTAGACTTCTAGACACGACATAGTCCAGTGACATCTTCAATCTAGACCCCTTAGCGATTAAGTAAGGACTGATAACGATATAAATACTCGGTTAAAGTAGTTGACTTTTTTTTCATCGCACGTCTGTCACTGCCTTCCTTTGTCACCAGTACGTCAATTATGTACGAATTGTTACCGCTTCTAGATGGTACGACAATGAATATTACGCTATAGGTATCCAATTATTTCATTTTGTCTCTAAATTGTTGATGTTTTTGTATGTATTTGACGGAGTCTGTATAAATTCTGTAACGAATAAAAAGCACTTTATCTTTACATGGATTTATGTTATTTATTTTATTATTCCTTCCAGAAAAATAAAATTCTTAAAAATTGTTCATTTCAAAACAAATGAACGGTAACAAACAAAACGGTATAAATGAGAGGGAATGGCAAGGAAAGGAATAGAAATGACGGCTAATTGGAGGGTAAAATTAAAGAATATAGTTAATTTCAGTATAAAATATAGCTAAAATTAGTATGTATATTATAATATTCTGTCTGTGATTTTAGGTGAGAATTTTATGATATCATCAAGGATACTGCGACTTTAGATTGTGTTCTACAAAAGAAATCTTCAGTTATAACAAAACCAGTTTATTTTGATTCAAAAACTACTAAACTGTTTTTGATAAAATTTATATGGGACCAATTTGTAAGTATATACTACCAAATAACAATTGACGGAGTAAAAGCTAAAAGATACCGAACATAAAAAAATACAACTGATTTGAGAACCTCCTTTTTGAAGTAGATTGAAAATACAATTACTCTGCAGAAAAAAAGCAGCTATAATCGTAAATACACGCAATCTGTTATGCTAAAGACAAATTCCAACTATTTGGAGCTAACCAAATATTATGAACTTGAGTTACTTTTAGAATAAAATATTTATTCTATAAAAGTATATACACGCAACTTGTTACTCTGTAAAATTTGTAGAGAAAATTAAAATCTTATCTTACAATCTTAATTATGTCTGTGAAACCAATAAGAATAAATAATCTTATATCCCTTATTTTTACGATACACCTATGTATACTGTGTGGCTTTGTAAATATTTACAAAAACTCTGTGAATCACATCACATTTGGCAGTATACAAAAAAAGATATCGGTCTAAGAACTGTAGTCCCGTACGTAAGGATCCCGATACAAAAAATCTATTTACATGAACGGATTTAGCAAGGACTCCTTCACAATGTCCGGGTAAAAATATGCAAAATCTACAGTACCGTAATTTATGTGTTTAGTGCGTAGATAAGGTAAGGACGCGAGGTTTTATTGCCGGATATGTTCCAAGAAATGTGTGTGTGATACGATGCTAGAGTTCATATCGGGACAGAGTGCGCGCGAAACCGAATATGGTTGACGGAGGCAAAAATCGTATTAAACAAGATAAATACAAATAGAGAGGATACATTCTTGGATAAGGTTTATTTATGAAAAGTGATCGCTTATTCACAAGTGTGGTGAAATATTGGCTTATTGTTATTTGTCTTATACCACAAAGGAGGCAAAAAGCATCCGTCTGATGGTAAACGGGTTACTGCAGCTTATGGACGCCTGCAATACCAGAGGTATCACGTGCGTGTTGTCGACCACGAAGAAATCTTAATATAACTTTTTTGAAGAACCCCATACTGTAATCTCTAGAGGAAACCTCGGCAGAGAGCTCATTCCATAGCCTGAGTGTTAGCGGAAGAGAATTCTTTTTAAACAGCATTGTACGTGACCATTTAGGTTCAAGCGTGTAAGGATGAATTCCCTGTAGATAGCGAGCGGTGTGATGATAAAAATGGCTGTAGGCTGTTAATTTTATTTTCACCATATAAACTAAATAAACAGAACATACTAAAACAACAGAGGTTTATATGAGATGTCATACATGCACTGTGTATACATATATTATACAGGTATACACTGTGCCGCATGTGCCTCTCATGTGTTGCCAGTTTTGCGATCCTTGAAGACAATGTATTTTTATTACTTTTTATTCCCAGGATGTTTTTTTCTATGGATGGAGATAGAATGATGCACTTTTTATGGTAATAGTATTTAGACACATAAAATAGTTAATAGTCTGGTATTTTTTTTAATGGGTGAAAATGTAATGATAATCCTGCCTGCGGTACCAGTATACACGGGTGAGTACCGGTAAGAGTTGAATACAAAATAGATTTTTTTACCACAAAATTGGGAAACAAGCATATAGACTTAAGGTTACAGGTAGACCTCATAGGGTATATTACTAATAATGGAGATATTAGACCTCATTACTGACAATTCCTTTCTCCCTAATTTAATTAATGTAATCAACTATGGAGTAGCAGCGGCGGATGAAACATTGAAGATTCATCTGCTGCTAGTACCCCGAATAATTCAGATTACTTGACGAATACAAGAATGAATTTGGATGGTTTCCACAGGGGATCGCGTGGAGATCGACTTGACAAGGTATTATTCCTTCCCCATTCTTCAGGACGCAATAAGAGGTAGTATAGAGAAAACTCTAACTCTAAACACTCGAAGAAAACTATTAAGATCTCCGGTTATAAATTAATTTTGGGCTATAATATCTTTCTCTTATGGGGAAAGATTAGTATCTATCTTTTGGACTATAATGGGATATAATGGTATGACTTTTTAATACAACTTAGAATGGCAAACAAGCTGACGGCCTACCTGATGGAAAGTGGTAACCGTCGCCTATAGACATGACCAGTACCATGGACATAACAGAGTATACTGTTATGTCCATGGTACTGTTGCTATGTTCAGTAAACAAATTAATAACACGTATAACAGGTGTTATTAATTTGTTTACTGAACATAGAATGGCTATAAGCTGCCATTCCTGAGGACTGTAATATTATGCCTGTAATTACATTGTCATACCTTACAAATTATACTCTTCAAACCCGAGGGAAAAGGGATTGTTAGTAATGGGGTTTAACAGTTCCATTGCTAGCAACACACCGACGTGGTTTCCTCTGAAAATTATCGTGGTTAATTCTTGTGAAATTCGTCACTATGATCAACCTTTCAGTCTTATCATCTCTCATTGGTGCCTCGCCAGTGCATGTCGATAGCGCATCGTGATGTATATATACATAAAGAATTAATTAAGTTAGTTTCCGTTATATACGTGGAGAAATACAAAAGTGTAACTGCGGTTGCCAAATTGCCTGCCAAGCGTGGTAACTACTGGCAAAAGCCCCCAATAGAGGGAGATAATTAACGGCTGATATGGTATGGTACGGCCATTTGGTCCAACGATAGAATGGGTCACCCCTTCTTTTCCCGTGAGTGTCGTAAGAGGCCACTAAGGGAACTAAATTTTGTATGCCAGATTCTGTTGAAAAATGTGAACAATATTTAAATATTATATACCATCTTTTATACCATTTTTCAAACAAAATAAAGCTATTTGTATTTGTAATGATCGAGGAATGGGCAGCAGCGTCCCTCCTAAAAATCACCAAAAGTCTAACTGCGGTTGGCAACCTGCCTGCCAAGCATGGCAACTACTGGTAAAATCCTCCAATAGGGGGAGGAAATAATGGCTGATATGATGATGTTTATATTTTCGCGAAGGGTTATGAAATATAGGAATCCAATAGACATCTCGCAGCTAAAAGTAATGCATTGTTTAAGGGCATAAGTAAAAGCAAGATTGTGTCACAATATGCTTTATCGACGATACGAATACGCTGTTGGCCTGGAAATTTGTTTCAACTGATAAGATATAGGCATTTGTGGTCCCCAACTGCCTGTAACTCATAACCATACACATAAATAATGTGAAGATTGTATCTTTTTATGTATTTATAGAACTTTGGTGTAAAATGATGAATTTGAGTACATTTTTTTTATGCAACTTAGAATGGTGAACAAGCTGACGGCCCACTTGATGGAAAGTGGTAACCGTCGCCTATAGACATGATCAGTACCATGGACATAACAGAGAGTATATTCTTTCGCACATGATACTCCCCATGCGTTGCCATACCTGACAACTCAGGTGTTATTCCTCTGTACCCTGTAAATTCATTACCATATCCCACCCTTCAAACCGAAACATAGTCATGCAAACATAACTCCTTCACAATTGAAACACGAATGGAACAGAGGCACTCAAGCAAACGATTTTTGTACAAAGTTTCCCTCTGATTTTTTTTCTCTCCTTCTGATTAGATTCTTTATTGGTATTATTTGATGCTTTTGCCTTCAATTGGATTTACTTTCATATTATTTCCTTATTAGGGGTGAGTAATATATAATATCTTAAATTATATTTTATTTACAATATGTATATATTGACCCAAAAACACTTGAATAGAGTTATCGATTCTCCAATAAAAATTCATGTCTATATCTACAGAGTGGAACTTTATGGTAGAGGGCTGAGTAGCAGTGTCCCTCTTAAAAAATCTTTAAAAGCCTAACTGCGGTTGCCAACCCGCTTGCCAAGTGTGGCAATTATTGGAAAACTCCCTTTTTGGGGAAAGCTTATATTTAGCAGTGGACAGTTAACGGCTGAAAATAATACATAGTTTATTTATATACTTAGTTACATGATCAAAGCCACGCGAAACAGCTAGTTTTAAATAAATCAAATTTAATTATATCGTCCACATATTTACATGGGTATGAGCTTATATCATTTACCACCTGAGTAACTTGTCTTATCAATTAATTATGTTACCAAGCATCTGTACTTGCATGGTTTCCGTTTGAAGGGTGAGTTTACGTAGGTACCTATAACGTATTAGTCCGGGGGGAAGGGATTGTTAATTATGGGGATGCTAGCGTCCCCTAACAAGTCGACTTTCACACAGTTACCATGGAAACCATCGTGGTTGATTCCTACTAAATTCGGTACAATAACTGAGTTTATTACCATGACAGATATGGTAAATAAAATTTGTGTCAACAAAACATTACACAATTGTTACGAAATATGATGAACCAAAAGAGGTGCATATGGTATTGAGGCTTTTGGTACTCTTCATGTTTGCTAAAAGAAATTAATGAACGTAATAAAAGACAAAATTTATATTTTCTTAAAAAAAAAAAAACCACTTTAATCTTCAGATAGTTCAGATCTTTTAGAAGTTCAGATCTTAATATAATAATAAAATTGTAACTAAATGATGTCTGTTTATATTAAAAAAAATATTATGAGGAATCTATAAAATATAACCCACAAAATAAAAATTTTTAGAATTTTTCCGATCTGTCTGTCTGTATGTTTGTTCCGGTATCATGCAAAAA